CAAAATTTGGGGATTTTGGGTGTTTGGAATAAAAATTTGGGGGATTTGGAGCCCAAAATTCGGGGACTTTTGGAGTTTGGAACCCAAAATTTGGGGGGTTTGGGACCAAAATTTGGGGATTTTGGGAGTTTGGATCCAAAATTTGGGGTTTTTGGGTTGATTTTGGGGTGATTTGAGCCGAAATTTTGGGAATTTTTGGGCGAGTTTTGGGGTTTGAGCCCAAATTTGGGTTTTTTGGGGGCGATTTTGGGAACCTTTGATCAAAAATTTTGGGAGGTTTTGGGGTTTTGACCCCAAATTTGGGGATTTTGGGACATTTCAACCCCAAATTTGCGAGTTTTGGGGTTGATTTTGGGGTGGTTTGACCCCAAATTTGGATTTTTTGGGACATTTTAACCCCAAATTTGGGGATTCTTTTTTTTTTAGGGAGGTTCAACCCAAATTTTGGCGATTTTGGGGGGATTTTGGTGGGGTTGATGCCAAATTTTGAGGTTTTTGGGTCCCTTTTCCCACAAATTTCGGAATTTTTGATAATTTTGGGTTCATTTTCCCCCCAAATTTTGGGATTTTTCATAATTTTGGGTCCCTTTCCCCCCCAAATTTTTTATTTCTGGTAATTTTGGGTCCCTTTCCCCCTGGATTTTGGGATTTTGGGTCCCTTTCCCCCTGGATTTTGGGATTTTGGGTAATTTTGGGTTCATTTCCCCCACAAATTTCGATTTTTTGGATGATTTTTGGTCTCTTTCCCCTTCAATTCCGCCTTCCCGGGCTGAATTTTGCGTCTTTTTTTTCCCCTCCCCGCTCGATTTTATTGACCCCGAACCTTTCCCGATCCCTTTCCCCACAAATTTCCAAAATCCGGGAATTTTTTCCCTTTTTTTTAATTAAAATTTCCTTTTATTTTTGCGATTTTTTTCCCCCCCTTCCCCCGCCATTTCCGCGCCGCTTCTCCCGCGCCGCCATTTTGTCTCCTCCTTCCTCCTCCCCTCGCGACTTCCGGTTCGCCACTTCCGCTTCCGGACTTCCGGGGGTGGGCGTGACCGGAAGTGACGCGCGCAGGCGGCGGCGGGGCCGGCGGTGCGTCCGGGCTTGGGGTTTTTAAACAAAATTTAATTTTTTTTTTCATTTTTTGGGGCGAATTTTGGGGAATTTTGGGGAATTTTGGGGATTTCCGGGAGGTTCCGGGAGGGGTTTGGGGGATCCTGAGGGGGTTGGGGGAGTCCCGGGCTGGGATTTT